ATTTAGTTTTTAAGGATTTTTTCCGCAAAAGATGAGGACTCTATTTTATTTTAAAAAAATCACTACAGTTCATTTTGTAGAAGAGTCAAGTGGCACCCACACCCTCACCCCTGCTCGACCTTCTTCCTACTCTCCCTCCACCATCGTGGCTTCCTCCATGAGGCATGTTCGTCCCCTCCTGCACTGCATCGCCATGCAAGCCACACTGCATCACCACGTGAGCTGCACTGCATCACTCTTTGAGAGGTTCGCTACTCTGTCTACTGTGCTTCACTCCGTTCCTTGTGATCCAAACCAGAAGAGACACAATGAAAGTGTACCCTGCTAGCATGGGAGTGGGTGGTTCACTTCGGTGGGCCTAGAGGTTCACTCCATAAAAAACTGCAGCTCGCTTTGTAATATTTTCTATACAAACAACGGTGCACAATGTTGCTCGTCAGATGCAGTGCGGTTTTCAGTCTGATGCAGTGCAGTTTTTTGCCTGATATAGTTCACTCGTCAATTTTGGTATCGCGAAAACAGAGTGTCCGCAAATCTCACTGTTGAAAACGTAAAAAGAAAAGGCTGAAGAATTGTTGTTCGTGAAGTTCACTATGTCTCTGTAGAAGAATAAGTGTGGTTCACTCGCCTTATCACCGGAGTTTCGACTCGTCAACAAAAAGTGGAAAAAACAAAATTAGGGAGCAGAAAAAAAACAGTGCAGTTAACTACTAGTGTCGCAGTACATTTCTCTTGACCATGGGGTTCACTTCTTTGCCCATGTAAAACACACTCTATGAGAGGTTAATTATATTGCCACATGTTGTATAAAAAAGCAAAAGTTAATTTTAATGCAGTCCCCTCCAATAGCAATGTATGAAAAAAGACATCAAAATACTCATGCGGCTCACCCTTGGTAGTGTTGCGGTTCACTTGCTCGCAACGTGAAGTGCTGAAAAAATGTTACTAAGACGACAAAATAAAAGAATGGTTGTCTTAAAAAATTACGTTTGAATAAAAGAAACCATGCAGTTCTCTTACCCGTCTAATGCAGTGCGGTTTTTCATCCGATGCAGTGCGGTTTTCAGTCAGATGAAGTACGCACGTCAATTTGGCTGTCGGGAAAAACAAAGTGTCTGCATTTTGGTAAATTTGAAGTTTCTCTTAAACTGTAAAGAATTAGAGAGAGTGTTCTACATGAAAAAGTTGCGTCTAATCGATATCTTTCCAACGGTGTATCATTTGAATCATTCCAACCAGCGGTTTGTAAAAATTTCGTGAAAAACAGCTGCTGCCACTCGTCATCCGTCACACGATTTTCAAAATTAACATAAAACCGTAAGGAATCTCAAAAACATTTCAACATATGAAAGTTGCGCCTCGTCCATAGCTTTTCAAGGATATATTACACGCCTCTTTTTGAAAAAACGGTTAAAAACTAGAGTGAAAATAGTACCGAAAATTTGAAAAAAATTTAAAAACAGAATTCTGCGATTTAGTAAATTCGAAACTGCTCTTAAACCGTAACGAATTAGAGAAATTGATAGATATGAAAATGATGCACCTCGATGATATATTTCCAATGGTGTATCATTTGCTTCATTCCGACGAGCGGTTTAGAAAAAACACGAAAAAAACGCTCGCTACCAATCGTTGTGGGTCGCGCTATTTTCAAAACTGCTCTTAATTCGTGAGGAATCTCAAAAAGTGTTCAACATGGCAAAGTAGCGCCTAATCCATAGCTTTTCAACGGTATATTATACGACTCGTACCGACAAACAGTAAAAAAACTAGAGCGAAAAATGTACCGAAAAAACACCGCGTGTAGTTTTTTGCGACGGGAAGTTCACTCGCGTTTGTACTGCAGCACACTTGGTTCAAACAATGACGTGCACTTGCATTGAACGTGCAGTTCGAAAGTGTTATCAGAATAACTATTCTACTAATATTAGCAGAATAGACCGGCTATATATATATCCCAAACACACATATTCTCATTCACACACATATTCCCATTCTTGAAATGAACAACTTTTTTTACTCACCTATATATCTCTCGAGAGAGACCGATCGAGAGAGAGCACGCGCAGTTAATTAGATGATGAGAGAGACCGATCGAGAGAGCACATGTGGATGGCTAAATAGCTAGCTAGATCTAGTTGTTGGGGAGAAGAGGTGAATCTAGCTAGCTAACTAATGGAGAGGGAGTTATGGTGGAGGGGGGCATTGATGGGGAGAGGAAGAGAGGTAGGACAAAAAGAGATGTGAGAGAGGCCATTTATGAAGGAGAGTTATGGTGGAGGGGGACATTAATGAGGAGAGAAGAGAGGTAGGAGGAAGAGAGAAGAAGAGCAACAATGATGGAGAGTGGAGAGGGGAAAGGAGGGGGAGAGAGGGCAAAGTGGGGAAGAGGAGGGGGAGGGAGTGAAAAGGTGGCACCAGCCGCAACTAGCAGTAGTGCTGCTTACCAAAACACGCTGCTGCTACCGTAGTTAGTAGCAGCGCTTTCCCGGAGAAGCGCTACTACTAAGTGGGGCCCATTAGCAGTGGCGGCACAGTAAAATACAACACTACTACTAAACTATTAGTAGTGGCGCTGGATTCTGTACAACGCTGGTACTAGCTATCGTCGGTGGCCTCGTCTGTTCCCACATAGTAGTAGCGTGTTTTTATTTTCCAGCGCTACTGCTATAGACAGAGTAATAGCGCTTCCCTGGATCAGCGCTACTGCTAACTAGCAGCAGCGGTGACTATTTTCCAGCGCTACTATTAAGCTCCTGTGTATAAGGCGTAAACACCTGAACCTCGGCACTGCCACCATGACCACAAGAACCAGGCTCATCCACCTGCCCCTCAGCCCCAACATCCCCACCATGGGGCACATTAGGAAAACCATCGAACAATGATCGGCTGACGACCATCACAACCCAGTTTTTTCTTCTGAAAGTTCCAGCGACTACCAGCATTTCATTGATTAAGAAGGTAGTAGAAAATTTACATTGCCGCACGGCAAGGATAAATAAAATTAAGAGAATGTAAAAAAGAAGGGACAGGAGGTCTATCTACAGATCCCCTAACGATCCAAGCAAGCACTTGGCACCTGCTAGTCTCCAGTTATGTAATGCAAGCCTAATGGCATGCACCACGTCGTCAACTGAAGCCCAACGTTCGTGCCGTTTCTTTCTTTCCATAGCTACCATGCCAAAAACCATACCTGTGTGCAAGAACCACGCAACATCACCAAAGAGCCAACGATGAAAGAAAAGAAAGGCACCAATCCGGATGGAGAGCGGTAGCCGAAACAGGAAGAAGACCAGGACGGCCAGCCCGTACAGCGGCGACTGAAGCGCCCCCCACCCACAGCAGGAAGACGCCCATAGAAATCTCAGTCATCAATCACCTCACCCAGTCCCATACCAAATCAAAAATCCCCTTTGACTGGGGTCGCGATGGGCGGCGCAAGGCACATACACGCTGCGGAGAAGGCGAGAAGAACACAACATGGAGCTAACGGCTGTGGGAGGAGCAGTGGGAAGAACCGGATGCAGCACGGGTGCTCAATCCTAGGGTTTGTCGGGGTGTCAGCTTGGTTTTTTTGTTGGGAAGAGATAGGCCCGAGGGTTGCTGGACTCGGATCTAGATGGGGGCTGCGGCGGTGGAGGAGATGGCCGGTGGCGGCCACAGATGGGTGAGAAGTTGGGCGGCGAGTCGGGAACAAGATATTGGAGGAAGAGATAGAGAGAGGGAGGATGTGTGGGGGTAGCGATAGCACGACGCAAACCGACCTGACAACTTTTTTTGATGGTTAAAAAAAACCGACCTGACAACTGGGACCTACGGGACAGGGGGACAATCGCCTGCTCGCCAGCCACGATTCACCAGGAGGGTGGATTTCCTGGGAGCTTAGTCACTAGTTAGATTGTACGTGTTCTCCATAGTGGCGTTATTTTCTATCATGAGCCTAAATTTTGATCAGTTATGTTCCATTATGTACTAATATTATATTCACTTTTGATTTCCTGTATTGTAAATAAGAGTCTTGAGATCCCTTAAGTCTTCAGGTATTTGTGCTTAGTGAAACGAGGGGTAGATACATTTGTCTTTCTTCATCCACCAAAGAAAAGTTGATATTTACTTTTTGAACTTGATATCGAGGTTTTAGGGAAAACTAACTAGTGGGATTGAGATTGCCGTCAAAAGATTGACATCATCATCTATTCAAGGTTCAGCAGAATTCACTACTGAGATTGAAATAACTGCAAATCTTTAAAACTGCAATGTAATTAGGATACTTTGGTTTTGCATTCAGAGGGAAAAGGGATTTATGGGGTTTCAAATTCAACAAGAAAGAGATGATTCTTGTGTACGAATGCATGCCAACCAAGAGCTTGGTCGGTGACCCTACTTTTTCAGGGTAAGAAGGGGCAGAGAAAATGCCTCGAGCTGAGGTCTATTTTCTCTACAACTATGTTCACTGAGACTTCAATTCTAAATTGTTCTATCGAGATTTTAAAGATTTTTTACGATTCAGGTGTCAATTCAATTTTAATCTTGCGGTGGTTATATGGATCCTTGAGTATATCGTGTCTAGTAGGAAATTCTCAGCGAGGTCTGATGTGTATGGCTTCGACATCATGGTTCCTAAGATCATGAATTTGCTTTTGCCTGCATTATATCTTTGAGTTCCATGTACAAGCTTTTTGATCGGTTCGTTCCATCTTTCCTTTTTCATTTTCTACCTCCTGTCCTTGTCACTTTTCATTACTGACGCAACTTCCACCCCAGTGAGCCTTTGCAGATAAAATGATTCCACCGCGTGCTCGGTCCAAAGTTTGACCGTGGACTTGGTACCCATCCTTCGCCGTATTGACCACACCACTCGGTCACGCAGCGCCTTTCCCATTTCCACAACCACCCGTCCTCCTCCTCCCACGCTACAGCAGAGCAGAGCAGAGCAGCAGCAGCAGCTCCGTCGATCTCCTCCGCCCTCCTCCCCCCGCGCCCGGCCTCTCCTCGCCGCCATGGCGCCCCGCGTGCCCTCCTCCCTCCTCCTCGTCGGCGCCGCCCTGCTCCTGGGCCTGGCGGCCGGCGCGGCGCGGGCGTCCAACGAGGAGGGGGACGCGCTGTACGCGCTGCGGATGCGGCTGTCGGACCCCAACGGCGTGCTCCAGAGCTGGGATCCCACCCTCGTCAACCCCTGCACCTGGTTCCACGTCACCTGCGACAGCGCCAGCCGCGTCGTCCGCCTGTAAGCTACAGTCCTTCCCCTCTCGCTCAATCAAGCTTTTATCTTCAAGGGTTTCCCAGCGCTTGCTCAGATTAGCCCAGAAACAAAGCTCGATTTAAACTACTACTAGGTCAAGCTGCTTGCGTGCCGGCAAAGGATATCCATGGTCTTTCATCTTTGGTCTTGCACTTGCTTCTTGTTTAAGGGATTGATAGCTTAAGCAATACTAGTTGAATAATCATACTAACTGTTCATTCAAAAGGGCCGATTTGTATATAAAAAAGAACAACTTGCAAGCATAATCAGTAGTTGTGGCGTCTGTCTGTCATAGTTCAACAATATTGCATCCTGTTGGTTGGATAACCGTGTTGTCTGACACTCTTTATGGCAAACTTCTGCAGGGATTTAGGCAACTCCAACGTCTCCGGCTCCATCGGCCCCGAGCTCAGCCGCCTTGTGAATCTTCAGTACCTGTATGTGCCCCTACGATGATGAATTCCACCGTTTCTGTTATTCGAACGGAACAAAATGGTTTGATTTTCTCAATTGGAACTTGATTTGCAGGGAGCTGTACAGGAACAACCTCAACGGCGAGATCCCAAAAGAGTTGGGCAAGCTGAAGAATTTGATCAGCTTGGATCTGTATGCCAATAAGCTCACCGGAAGAATCCCCAAGTCCCTTTCCAAGCTCAGCTCACTGAGATTCATGTATGTATTATCCTCTGATTGAAGTTAATTCCTCCACAGTACAAATGCCCCCTCTAAAAAAACTACTCCTAATTCATGGCATCTTTCTTTAGTCCAAGTGGTGTACCCAAAATGGCTGGGAAGTTGTGCCCATAATTCTGAATAAACTGAAATGCAATTTAAAATTTTGCTTTTGGCATAGTTAAGCATTAAATGTATGAAAAGGATCTAAGTTTGTCTCTCCTAATTCATATATGAACATTTTTCCCTAAGTGAGTACTAAAGCAATTTCTTATAGGCGTTTGAACAACAACAAACTTGCTGGATCAATTCCACGGGAGCTGGCCAAACTCTCCAACCTGAAAGTCATGTGAGTGTGCATCTTAACATATGTATACCGGATTTAGTTGTGCTGTTGATTCTCTATGGTTGCTGACTTTTAAGCCATTGTGACATGCAGTGATTTGTCTAACAATGACTTATGTGGGACGATCCCCGTCGATGGTCCATTCTCAAGCTTCCCTCTTCGAAGGTATATCTCAAAGGCCACTAGCATGTTTTGTAGAACCAATGTGCATCTGGAGTCCTAAAAAGCTCAGACATTTGTACTGTAATTCTTAAGGGCGATGGTCTAGTTTTTCATGATTGCATAAGCTAGAAATGTTATGATGATGGTGTTTGAAATCATGTCTCATGAGTTTTTTTTCCGGACTGCTGAGTCATTCATAACTCATAAGTTGATAGCTCTCATATCAAATATGGCATCTTCTCTGTGAGTGGGTTCATGCGATGAATGCTAATAAGACATAACTGTTATTTTTCAGCTTCGAGAACAACAGCAGGCTGAACGGCCCGGAGCTGCAAGGATTGGTTTCCTATGACTTCGGATGCTAGGAAGCACCGATGCACACGACAATGCACGTGGAAGGAAGGCAAAAAAATATAGTAGTACAACAAATAGTGTGGAGCCTAGCACTACAACATGTATGGCTTGCGATACATGCAGCAGAAGATGAAGAAGGTATGTGAGCGTAGGGTCTGCGTTCGGTACTCAGACCGCAGAAGGAAAAGAATGGGATGTGAGAAGTCTTAGCTTGATCGATTGTTATTGCCGTATTGTAAATTGTAATAAGCTGCTTAGTACCGCAGCTATGCTGACCGCTTGGGTCCGTTTAGCAAGCCTTTGCCAGTTCGGAACTAAATCCGGGCTGTTGAAGAATGTATCTCAAGTTTTATCTACAAATGATGCACATCTCTTTGCTATGTTAGTATGGTTGAAGTACAAGCATTGTAGTGCAAAACAATATGAAGACTTTGTTCATCCATGAAATGTACAATATGTACAGTGACACAATGTTAAGTGACATCGATAAACATGAGCTCCAGCGGTTGCCCGGATGATGGCAGCAATTGTAGCGAGGACAACCCGTTACAGGAGACGCAGCTGCTTTCCATACTGATGAAGTTGGGTACGATTTTTGTATTATCTTAACAATTGATGGCTGTTATTCAGTGTCGTACGCAGATCATACGTAATCCATTAGAATCATCAGAAATTCAAAAGGATGCCACAAGACACACCTATTAGATATGCTATGTCATTGAATCAGTGATAGTCTTTATCATTTGGATCCAATATTTTAATGCTTCTGAACATTCAGATTCAACTTAACTGAACCAAACTAGTAATTTTAATGCTTTTCTGTTGGAGCTAACATGAATGCACCATTGATATCCCACCCAGTAGTAGTCATATAAGCATGAATCATCTGTGAAAACCACTTTCAATTCAACCAGTGAGCATGTTGTTGTGCTGCTTTTCATGCTAACTAAAGTTACCTGACACTGAAGACTAAGACAAGATTACAGAGAGAACTGGAGAATCAGAAATAAAAATCGTGCCTGCATACCAATCCTGCGAGAGAGAAAAATGTTGGTTCTAATGAGTGGGTTACAGGCTTACAGTATCCTGAGTGGGTTACAGGCTTGCAACAGCGTTCGGTTTTCTTCCCCTTTTCCTCCTTTCAGTTGGGCATCGTAGGACGACAAATGATGAAAATGTGGCGTTATAGTAGTAGAGGCACTTTCCCAGTCTGTAGGTTTACGTGAGTTCTGATCTGATGGTGGCATTTTTCGTGCTGTTTCTGTTCTTCAGTGACAGTTGAGATCTAAATGGTTTTGGATTCAGCAAAAGGATAGCTGCATACCGGGCCTGGCGCAGAACATTTCGGGGCCACACAAGGGCTTAAAATCCCTTATGTGTACTTCGCTTTTGTTCGACGCAGCCCTGTTAGAACATATAATTGTTATGCCTTGTTGTGCCATGGTGATTTGTGTATAACAGGAATTCAGAATGAACTCAAGTTGGCATGTGCGAGTGCGAGTGCCTACAATATTCTCAGGTTGCATTTTTTCAAATGCTGAATGTTTAGTTCTTCTGGTAGGAGCTAGGGTTCTACCGGGTCTAGGACGGAGGTTGTAGGGGAAGGAAGGAGTTGGGCGTGGACGAGCTCGCGGTCGCCGGCGGCTGGGCGCCGTCGTGCGCGAGGGAGGAGGCGGCGCAAGGGCAGGAGGCGGCTAGGGTTTAGGGTTCCGGCTCCTCTCGGAGCCGGGCAATAGAAATAGTCTTATTGCTTAATTGCCAAAAGAGTCTTACAATTGTTTATATAACCACGATGCTAATAAAAATAAGATAACTTGTGGGCTAAGCCCCTAACTAAACCTTCCCAGTGGGCCTCCTCCGGGTATAAGTTACCCCGTCATAACTGTTAGAGTTATAATATAAGTCATGTACCCTTTTTGTATTTATCCCGTTGTATAAGGCGTTTCCTGCATATGTTCCACACCTGTACATGTATATATATCGGCCTATGGCCTCATGGGAATACAAGTTGCTTATTCCTAACATGGTATTAGAGCCTTAGGTTTTTTTTTCGCACGTGCAACTCATGCTCTCGATCCAATCTCCGAGCAGCCGCCGTCCTTCTTCTACGAGCGGCACTGCTCTCTCCTCATCGAGCGCCCAGGCCGGCTGCTTCTGCCCTCGAGTTCGCCCGCCAACTCGTGCTGCCCGATCCGGCCGGCTCGTCCGCAGGTCTCCGCCTCCCGCTGCTGCTTCGCTCGTGGTCCAGCTCGAGCAATCCTGTCCGATCTCCTGCTGCTGCTTGTCAAGGATTGAACAGCTGCTGCTGTTGCCCAGGACACTGGCCCCATCCCGTTTTCCAAGCAGAGTCGCCCCTGACTGCTGCTGCTTCGCTCGGGGTCCTGCCTGCATGAGCGGCTCGCTCTCAAGATCGGTCCTCGATCTCGCCCCTGACTGCTGCTGCGGTTCTCGTCCAGACCCTCTGTTGGTTCCCTTCCGTTGACAAAAAAAACAGGTGCGATGTCTCTGTCCTCAGGCTATGTTGTTGTCCCTCGCTGTCCGGTGATCTTCGATGGTACTAACTACACCGAGTTCACTGGCTTCATGCGCATTCACATGCGTGGCATCCGTCTGTGGGGTGTTCTTTCTGGCGAGGTCTGCTGTCCGCCACGTCCAGTTCCTCTGGTGGCCCCTACTCCGCCGACTCTACCGGTTCTTCCTACGGATGCTAATCAGGCCGCCAAGGATGCGGCTAAGCTTGCTGATGAGGCTGCTGATCGTGCTTATGATGAGAGGGTTTTGGCTTATGAGGAGGCTCTTCAGACGTATCATGGTGCTCTTTCTGTTTACACCCAGTGGCTTGATGATGATGCTCGTGCTGCAGCTGCTCTCACTGCTAGTGTTCTGCCTCAGTTTGCTTCTGAGTTTCTGGGTCTTCCTACTGTCTTTGAGATGTGGACCCGTCTTCGTCAGCGCTATGAGCCCTCTGGTGATGCCTTATACCTTTCTGTGGTCCGTCAGGAGCATGCTCTTCAGCAGGGTGACTCTACTATTGACGACTTCTATGCACAGAGTTCTGCTATCTGGCGCCAGCTTGATTCTCTCCGCAGTGTTGGTTGTCGTACTTGCCCTTGTTGCCAGGCTGTCCAGGCCAATTTGGAGTTTCATCGCGTCTACGAGTTCATGTCTCGGCTCCGTAAGGAGTTTGAGCCTCGGCGTGCTCAGTTGTTTGCTCGTGGCCATATTTCTCTCATGGAGGCGCTTTCTGAGATTCGTGCTGAGGAGACTCGCTTACATGGTGTTGGTTTGGTGGAGGTTCCCTCTGTGCTTGCTACTCGGCCTCCTTCCACGCCACCTGCTGCACCGGCCCTCTCTCGCTCGAGTGCTCCGCCGCTCTTGCCCACTCCTTCTGGAGGCTCAGGTCGCTCCCGTCCACATTGCGACTACTGCAACAATGATGGTCATATTGAGTCCCAATGCTACACGAAGAGGAAACACCTGCGCAAGGCGCGATCATCATCTTCAGGGACTTCATCATCTACCTCGATAGCTTCAACCATTGCTTTGACTGAGCAGGATATTCTGAGACTTAAGCGTCTGCTCGCGGCTTCAGGTTCTTCCTCGACGGGTACTGCTGGTTCTGTGACTGATGCTTCTCTCACTGAGCAACCACCCTCTACATCGTCAGGTACATCCCTATGGGTTTTGGACTCTGGAGCTTCTTTTCATATGTCTTCTCATTCTTCCACTTTGTCCTCTCTTCGATCGCTGGATTCTCCTGTTCATGTTCTCACTGCTGATGGTACTCCACTTTCTGTTGTTAGTAGAGGCAATCTTACCACTCCTTCTTATTCTATTCCTGATGTTGCTCATGTTCCTCGACTTACCATGAATCTGTTTTCTGCTGGTCAACTTACTGATTCTTGTTGTCGCGTCATCCTTGACATTGACTCTTGTTCTGTCCAGGACCTTCGCACGCACACTCTGGTTGGGGCTGGACCTCGCCACCGTGATTCTCAGGGTCTTTGGGAGTTGGACTGGCTTCATGTTCCTTCCGCTACCACCACTATCGCCAGTTCCTCCGCTTCAGTTGCCTCCGTTACTGGTTCCTTCAAGCAGTGGCATCATCGACTTGGTCATCTGTGTCGTTCTTGGTTGTCGTCTTTAGTTCGTCGAGGTCTTCTGGGGTCTATCCCAGGAGATGTCTCTTTAGAGTGTCAGGGTTGTCGTCTTGGTAAGCAGATTCAGTTACCATATTCACATAGTGAGTCAGTGTCTAAGCGTCCTTTCGATTTAGTCCATTCTAATGTATGGGGTCCGCCTCCTTTCGCTTCGAAAGGTGGTCATAAATACTATATTATTTTCATAGATGATTTGTCTCGTTACACATGGCTTTATTTCATGACTTCTCGTAGTGAGGTGTTGTCTATTTATAAGCGTTTTGCTGCCATGGTTCATACTCAGTTCTCTTCACCCATTCGTGTTTTTCGTGTTGACTCCGCTGGTGAGTACATCTCTAAGATGTTGCGTGGTGTTCTTGCTGAGCAAGGAACTCTCTCTCAATTCTCTTGTCCCGGTGCTCATGCTCAGAATGGTGTGGCTGAGCGAAAGTATCGTCATCTTCTTGAGACGGCTCGTGCATTGATGATTGTTGCCTCTCTCCCGCCTCATTTTTGGGCTGAGGTCGTCTCCACCTCCACCTATCTAATCAATCTACAGCCTTTTGCTGCTCTACATGGTGGTGTTCCTTTCGAGCGTCTTTTTGATTGTTCTCCCGATTATTCGATGCTTCGCTTGTTTGCTTGTGTTTGCTATGTTCTTCTTGCCCCTCGCGAACACACCAAACTGACCGCTCAGTCTGTTGAGTGTGTCTTCTTAGGCTACAGTGATGAGCATAAGGGCTATCGTTGTTGGGATCCTATCAGTCGTCGGATGCGTATCTCTCGAGACGTGACTTTTGATGAGTCTCGTCCATTCTACCCACGCCCATCTTCTCGACCTTTTCAGTGGAGGATATCTCTTTCCTCACTTT